TTGATTCTCGCGTTGGACTTCCAGCCACCTACTCGATTTTGGCCGAGAACTTTGACGTTGTCTGCTCATCACTAGGGTAGACAACGTTCAGTCCGGGGTTGAAAGACTGTGCTTGTAAACATGTAGAAAACCGAGTGTGAGCAGAACACTAACCTGTGCATCGAACTTCGAATGCTGGACCTTGGTGGCCGAAGCCATCGCGAATCGTGGTGCTGTAGCAAACCCGCGCTGCAAACTGGCAATTAAAGGCTACAGCGTAATGTTAAAACCATCTTGTGAGGTATGCGCTCTAAGTTTGGAGAGCGCCGCGTTTTCGCTGATGGCTTCACCCACCCCCTGCATGTGGATTTCTTTGGAGACTTTGGGGGCCGCTTATGTTGGGGGCCAAGTTACCGAAAAGGGTAAGACGCATGAGATGGCGCACAGCCGCTTGATCACAACTGTATTGATTGCCGAGTATCGATCGTCTGGCGCTGTTCGCGATGGCGCGGGACCGGGGTAGAGGCTCGCCAGTACGCTGGGCGACGAACTCCGGCCCTCTCTTGCTGTCGCATTCCCCTCCGGCGAGAACCGTGTTCTTCGTACAATGATTGACTGCTGCGAGGTCAGTAGCAGCCCTGTGAGCATCCGATAACATGCTAATACCGTGTAGCAAACGATGAAATGCCCAGTGCCGTTCCGCACGGCTCTGCTAAAGACTGAGAGCTCGGATGGTAGTTCAGGGCCAGAGGTTCCGTTGCTGCCAGCAACATACCGGAGAAATTACAAAATCGAGCCCGTCAGCAACAACATCGGCGCGTTCTTGGATATCGAGCTGGATGTCCGCCGACTGAACGAAGTCCACAAATGGTTATGGCTTGTGGGCCTTCCAAGCGCGCCGCGACCTCTTCATTACCAAGTGGTCAAGAAACGGGAAATTGTGGTGACAGAACAGTTGGATCTGCATCTTGTTTGGTCGTCAGCGTCTTCGTCGTCGATTCTCCTCAAACCGCTGCCTCGCTTCCTTCTCTGCCCAAACTTCTGGGTCACGGAGATTTGCCCACGTCGGCACCTGTACGAGACGGCACTGGGCTTCATGCTGTCGTACGTCGCGCTCATCGAAAGGGAGGTTGACTACAATCTAGCCATCAACCACGGCCTCATTCCTAAAGAAGTCACTTGGTCTGGGTGGCTGGCGCTCGTTGGCGAGGTCGTCTGCACCTCGGTACAGACGCATACCATCGATGCGTCGGCTGCATCGTCTGTAAGCTTGCTGGAAGACCGCCCACGCGTCAACCAACGCTTCAACTATGGCGAATTGAGACTTGGGCGGCTGAACTGGATATATCGCTTGGCCATGGGCGAGTTGCGCGGGTACCTAAGCGGCTGCAGCACGTATGGAGCCTTTATGCGTGACAACGTTAACAGTCTCATTACGCTATTCGCATACACTACCATCGTGCTCTCCGCGATGCAGGTTGGGCTTTCGACAGAGCCTCTCGCAAACGACTACTCGTTCGGCATGGCGTCGTACGTCTTCTCCCTCTTTTCCATCCTGGCTCCACTCGCATGCATTGTCGCTATTCTTGGCGTTATAGCCTTTATGTTTGTCGTGAATTTGGCGCGCACGCTGAGGATTCGAGGGCAGAAGCGGCGTCAAGGTGTGAAGGTGTGAAAGCTCGACGCGACACGCGCCTGGCTGCTGGCAACGATGACGCGCTGCGGGCCGACAGCCAGGGAAGCGACAGCCCAAACATCCCCACCAAACCTCACCAGTCCCCCGGGGCCATCAACACCCACCAACCCCACCAAAGATAATTGATGAAACCCTAGGTCGCGATAGCTCTTCGCCGTCTATAGTAGCTAGGCATCCATGCCAGGCACCGACTGCTTGCATCAGTGGCCAGATACGGGCCCACAGACGACGCAACGTATCGCGATAATGCCCGAGGTCATCCACGCCTCACGGACATCAGTAGCGGGATTTCGCATCGTGCACGAGCAGAAAGATGAGAACAAAGTGCCAGTAATCCAGCGAAGAAGACTCGTATCAATAGGCTGTGTGCATATCTCTCTGCCCGGGCTGCAAGGGTGGCTAGAATCTGTGTCGTGTTTGCTGCATACACATCATTATGTATTAAGAAGTAGCTAGCTCCTAATACGATGTATACTTCTACCTTGAAAGATATATTCAACATTTTCTAATGCTTTTGTAGACTGCAACAGGAGGTATAGCTATCGCAGCACACGGTCTTGCCTAGGTACCGACGGGCTAGAATAGACGCAGTAGTAGCGGTACCTAAGTACAGTATTACACAGCATCGTCTGTGACATCAAACGCGGTTATGATAGAATTCTGGTCGACCCCGACGCACACGTTCTATTCGTACTTCAATCCAAGCCCATATTTGCATCGCCTGCCAGTTCAGACTCGCAGCGAATCCCTCCCTAACAGCTCCAAAGCTTCATGTCGACTGTTAGTTCCGCTAAGCCTGCTGAGCTCCAAAGAGCGAAGGAAGGAGTTTGTGTGTCAAGGCTCGGTGTAAGCACCTGCCGAGGAAGCTTTTATCCCGACACTTGACCTATTCCGACTCCTAGCGCTGACACTACGCCCTACATGACCGACACGGCCAGCAATCTCGAATGTCCATCTCTAACCTCATATTTTTCGACGAAATCGCCTCAAGGCACGACATCATGAGCGACGAACCAGTAGAGCTCACCAACCTTGGAGCGTCCAAGGTTGACACCCCACCAGAGGATGCTATACCACCCGTTCAATACCCGCGTGGTATCCGCTTAGCTTTGATAACTGTTGGCCTCGCCCTCTCCATCTTTCTCGCTGCTTTGGACTCCACGATTATCGCTACCGCAATTCCGAGCATCACCACGCAATTCCGTAGCATCAGCAGCCTGGCCTGGTATGGCTCGTCCTACGCAATTACCAACACCGCATTTCAATCTGCGTGGGGCAAAGCCTACCAGTACTTCAGCCTCAAAGCCACCTTCATGTCTGCAATTGCGGTGTTTGAAATTGGCAATGTGATATGCGCAACAGCACCAACGAGCGAGGTTTTGATCTTCGGGAGGATCGTGTCTGGCATGGGCGGTGGCGGAGTGATGACGGGTGCGTTCATTATCGTCGCGATGACAGCTGGACCACAATACAGGGCCGCCTATATGGGCGTGTTTGGCGTGACTTTTGGATCTGCAAGCGTCGTGGGACCATTGTTGGGTGGCGTTCTGACAGACGGCCCTGGATGGCGATATTGCTTTTGGTACGTGAACCCCGATCTGTGTTTTGGCCGCTCTACCGTCTACAACACACTCTCCACCAAATGTTTTGCGCGTGGATGGAAACCACGCAGGCATTGCAAGGTCAAGATCCGTGCGCTGACAATACACAGGATCAGTCTACCAATCGGCTTCGCTGCCGCGCTCACGATGTTCCTCTGCTTCCATGACCCAGGAAAGCCCAAGGATGTACCTCTCCGCGAGAAGCTTCTGAACTTGGATCTTAACGGCGCCATCTTGCTATCCGGTTGCTTCTCTTGCTTCATCTTAGCTACGCACTGGATTGGCATTATGCCTCCGACCAGTGCTCGTATCATTGGCAGCTTTATCGGTTTCGTAGGCCTTTTCATCTGCTTCGCGATCAACGAACGCTATATGGGAAGCTGCGCAATGGTACAAGCTCGCGTGTTCAAGAACAAACTCGTCTTCGCCAATCTGCTATATGCTTCCTTCATCGCGGGCGCCTTCTTCCCACTCATGTACACACTGCCAATCCAGTTCCAATCCGTCAACAACAACACGGCTTCGCAGAGTGGTGTCCGACTTATTCCACTCGTTATGGGCGTCTCACTCTTCACCATGATATCTAACGGAACGCTCACCTTCTGGCGCCATTACAAGCCCTTTTTCTTCGTGGGCGCAATTCTGGCAGTAGCTGGAAACGTAAAGATACACTCCTTGGATGCCAGCACACCGACCAGGGACTGGGTCGGCTTCGAGCTCTTGACAGCCACGGGAGTAGGCCTCGCTCTTCAAATCCCGATGATTGCGAATCAAGCCCTCGTTTCTGCTGACGACTTGGCCGCTGTAACATCTATGTCGCTCTTCATGGAGAATACTGGCACCGTCTTTTCTGTCGCATCGAGTGAAGCGGCATTCACGAACGGACTGCTTTCAAGCCTCGCCCGCAACCTGCCCGAACTGGACGCGAAGGAGATAATGGATGCTGGCGCGACGCAGATCCGCGGGCTATTCTCAGGTCATGAGCTTGACCAGGTATTGAAAGGGTATCTGGATGGCTGTAAGACCAGTCATGTCATACCCGTAGCCTGTGGCGCAATTTGTGCGGCAATCAGCTTGTCCAACGCTGTGCCGGCGACCTTTCAAGGGATAAAGAAGCGGCTTGGGAAAAGCCATGATCGATGATTGCTGAGATGATATGGAAAAGGAAGCTTCAACACATTGACGATGTTTCAACAGGACGACCAGGACTCAACGGTCCGGAATTAGTGGAGCTCAACGCCCGCGCCGCGAATCGACGTGTTGTCACGCCTCACACGGTCTCTTGACAGAGCCCAGCGTGTTGGTCAAAGTCGACATGATGGAGGTGGAAAACAGACACCGGCAGTTGCACCGTGCTGATGGGCTGCAGTGCATTGATCGTCCCTGGCCGGCTGCCGGTGCAATAGCGGCGGGACGCGTTCCGCTCAAACTATATTGTTGATATGCAACCATAGCCTATCAATACATCGGGCGCTCAAAGAGTTTCGCGTTATTGCTCGATGACTTTCACGTTGTTCGCGAGTCGTGAAGTAATCCACGTCGGATGAGATGAGCGCGTGGATGAAGCACGCGTGACGTAGCATAAGCTGCTAACCGAATCAGGCATAGCACCTCCATCACGAGCCATCTACGCCCGTGCGCAGCGGCGACTCAGCCATCGCCGCGCTTATCATAACAGTCCCGTCTCTCTCGCCCTGTTGTCTCTTCTGCAATGTCCACAAATCATGCCATCAAACTCATCGACTCTTAATCATCGGAGCAGGCCCTCTACCATTCTCTTCGCCTTTGGCGTCTTCGCGCAGGTCGCGTTGCTTTCCTGCATCTTCTGGACTTACACTAGCTATGGCAACCCCCGTGAGCCGACCGCCTTAGCGGAAACCACAACTAAGACATCATCAAGACCAAACGGCTTCACTCTGCGCCACCTTTTGGATCACGGCGCTGGACAACCTGGGCCACGAGCACGAAGATTCGATGTGACTCCAGAGCGGTTTGCCGTTGCTGGTATCGACTCCCGCATCGGGCCCTTCACTATCAAGTCGGCACCAGTCAAGATAGAAAGGCCCGCGTTACGTGGCTACGATGCACAGATCCCCATGTCGCCCATGTGGATCGCCGAGGATATTCCGGGTCCGGATGTCACGGACAAGAACACCGTTATCAGTTTCGCAAACATGTCCGAAGATGCTTACAAAGTCGGCCCTGACGATGCAGGATGGATGGACGTCGATGGGCATTACAACTCGTCGGTCCCTTTTGGCTGGGATGACAGTGGCATCCGAGGCCATGTGTTCAGCGACGACACTAACTCCACCATCATTCTGGCGGTAAAGGGAACGACGGTAGCCATGTTCGAAGGCGACGGAACGTCCGTGCACGACAAAGAGAACGACAACCTGTACGGCTCTTGCTGTTGCGGCCAGGGCGGCACATATCTTTGGCGCAAGGTATGCGACTGCCAGACTGGCACCTACAGCTGCGACGAGCAATGCGTCAAGAACGAGTTACGGAAGCCGAACAGGTACTATGCCGCAACTGTCGAGCTGTATCAGGAGGTTGTCAAAATCTATCCGGATGCACACATCATGACGACAGGGCACAGTCTAGGAGGCGTCCTCGCTTCTCTGATCGGCCTGCAGCACGGTATCCCCGCGGTGACGTTTGAAGCATACCCACAAGCCTTAGCAGCTAAGCGCTTAGGACTACCAGCTGCTGGTGACGTTGCTCCACTCAGGAAGAATACAGGTGGCTTCCATTTCGGGCACACCGCTGACCCCGTGTACATGGGAACTTGCAACGGTGCGACGAGTTTCTGCTCTATTGGCGGATACGCCTTTGAGACCCTTTGCCATACCGGAAAGAAGTGTGCATACGACGTGGTCAAAGACTGGGGTTGGAGGCAGAACACACAGACACACAGCCTTAGATACGCCATTGACAACGTGTACATGAAGTACGACGAGGCAGCAAAATGCCAAGAAGAGGATGTTGGTTGTGTCGATTGCTACCTATGGAAGTTCGAGAACGGGACGAAAACCACGACAACGAGTACTTCTACAACACCAACAAGTACCACATCATCGAGGACGCGGACGGAGACATGTAAGACGCCTGGGTGGTGGGGATGTCGTGATGAGACTACTACGATGGTATCAACTACATCGTCCAGCGTATCAAGTACTGCAACTAGCACAAGTACAAGTACCTGTCAAACAGTGAGTTCCAGAACCTCAAAACAGTGCGAACATGACTAACTCCTTGAAGCCCGGATGGTTCGGCTGCAAAGACAAGACGACAGCTACCGGTCCTATTACGTCTGCCACGACCACTACTACATCAGCTGCACCGACAACTACTTGCACCTCGAAGGGCTGGTTTGGCAGGTGTTACGATGACGTTCCAGCGACAACCACTCCAGCCATGCAAGCTCATGCCTACTGGCGGAATGCGGCGACTGCGACACAGACGGCGCCTTAGACTTTCAGAATCTTGCATATGCTATATGGGTATCTTTCAGTAGCATGATATACCCATTTAGAATTACCAATCAATCGTCTTCGTTGCTTCTTATCATCACGCGAAGAAATGTTGCTGCATGATTCCGCCATCTGGTGGTGGCGCGAAGGATCAGTTACGTTTAGGCTAAACCCGATTTACTTGAGCCATTCCTCGCATCTCTAGGCAGCCATCAACGAGTGTGTTAAAAACAAAACGCATGCAGCACAAATTGGCCATCAAACAAGCTCTCTCTGCTGTGAACACAATGCTTGACTTTGACTTCCACCTCACAACACCTCGTCTCTTCATATCCCACCTTAACCCTGAGGACGATGCTCATTGCGATTTCGCATACGAGCTAGTGTTTAGCCCAGGTCCCGCTGAGCAGAAGCCCGCAGTCGATGCGGAAAAGACAGAGATCACACCCCCTCGCGATGTTGGGAAGAACTTCATCGCGAAGGATATTGAGAGGATGGAGCAAACAGGCTATGGTCGCTACCTGGTCTCGCTCAGACAAAACTCAGCTTTGAACTTCAATTCACCGCATGAAGACGAAGACGTCCCTTTCTCGAAGAGACGACTAACGCCAATTGGCATCGTGTCAATGCAACTCGCGCGCTTCCCGTCCGAACCGTCCGCACCAACAATCCCAGATGTCGGGTTCACATTTCTACCCCGGTACCTTGGAAATGGGTACGCTACTGAAGCTGCAGCGGGCTTGATGGAGTACTTTACAGACGAGAAAGGACTCAAAGAGTTTTGCGGCTTTTGTAAACCGGAGAATACAGCAAGCGCAAACGTTTTGAAGAGGTTGGGGTTCGAGGAGAGAGGTCTAAGGGATGTAGATGGTGTTGTTGACGGGGAGATATTGAGCGCGTTGGTCTGGACAATTGGCGTTGGGCATGAGAAGGGCGCGCTTGAGAAGCGAGGCTTGCAGCGCGTTGTGAAGCGTTCATGGAAATTGTGGCGTTGAGGCTATTGGGCAGGTCTATACATGACATATCTCTTCATTAGATAATTAGCTCAGAAGACACTACTACACAGCATGCTCAATACAATCGCGATCATGCGCGGGTGTAGAAGAATTGTCCGATGAACGCGGTGCCGGACAGATGATCGGAAAGAGTCCGCGCGATGACGTCTGTGCGTCGGCCTAAGTCTTAGCGCAGTGCAAGCCCGTCTTCAGCCGAAGCTCGCATCCGTCCGATGCTTCAGCTTCGTCGGATGTTCCGTCGAGTGTTTCCTTTCACCACAGGGTGCAGCCGCGCGCTCTGGTAGCCGATTGCTAACTATTCGCACTCAGCTGACGCGACATTATTCCACGAGATGTCAACACCGGATGCACTGGCAACAACGCGTCCGGAGAAACGGCGCAGACTTGAGCGCGTCGCAGCGGCCTGCGATCTGTGCAAGAAAAGAAAGGTAAAGTGCGACGGTGAGCAACCATGCGCCTATTGCACTCGGAAGGATCGCGCGGCTACTTGCACGTTCAGCGGCCCTCATGCACGCCCGCAAGCGCATTCTGCCGGTCACACTCCCCTTCACGGTGTCCGTTCCGACGATATCCACCGTCATCACCCCCGTTCAACTGGCCATACACCTCATAACCGCGATCGAGATGAACAGGACGATGCTGTGCGACAAAGGCTTGATCGCGAAGCTGCCGAGGATGGAACATCACTCTCGCCAACATTGAGCAGAGATGATCAACAAGGCGATACAGTGGTGCCTCTTGAGGGTCGCATCCTCCGTGACGCCCAGGGAAAGTCTATCTTCATTGGCGACTGCGCCCCGCTGTCTTTTCTGCAGACAGTCAGGCATCTCATCACATCCGAGGTGGATCCAAGAGCTACTGTTCAAGCTACACGCGACCCCATCATTGAGATCGCTCGGCCTGATTCAGCGGATCAACATTCATGTCCTCCTATTGATGTGCATCAGGTCGACGCACTAGTCGACGAGTTCATGGCTGCAAGTAGTGGCCTCGTTCAGCTCTTCCAACGAGAGGATCTTGCTCCCGAACTGAAAGCATGGGCAGGCAGCAGGAATTCGAGTTCAGACGATGCTGCAGCTGCCGTCTTCTATCTGGTCCTTGCGATCGGCGCCCAAGAGCGATTCGAGGAAAAGGCAGAAGCCTGGTTCAATACTGCTCGGGATGTGCTTTTGAAGCATATGTGCAGCAGCATGAACGTGTCTACTGTTCAAGGCTTTGCCCTCGTAGCCATCTACATGCTCCGAGCGTCTCAGCCGAATGGAGCCTACTTATACTTCTGTATGCGAAATGAGAAAGAAGTGGCAGTATATAATACGCTAACTTGTTTCAGCCCTGGCTGCGCGTGCCGCATATGCAATCGGCATACACCGAACGGAAGTGAACGCATCCTTTGGCGAAACCATCAAGCTGGTGCGAGACCGGATTTGGAAGAGCATTCGCGTCACCGACCAGTTGATAAGGTAAGATACAACTACAGATGTCCTCAACCAAAGTCTCACACGTTGCGGAGTCTGCACAGCTTCACTCTGGTAGTATATGCTGATCCTCTGCTTCCCCATGTAGCAACGCATTAGGCCGACCTCCGTCCACATCAGATGTCGATTGCACCGTCAAATACAACACTTTTGAAGACAACACCGAAACCGATGATGCCAATATACTGGATGCCAGCGTCCAGATCTTCATGATTATTGAGCGTGTCGTCGTTGAAGTGTACTCTCGCAAACGCATATCACTACGCATTGCAGACTATGTTTCGCGACAGTTGAAGAGCTGGGCGTCCAAATGGCTGCAGAAATTATCTCATCTTACGACCAGACCTCATTCTCGAGAAGCCGTAGTGGGTGCTTGCTCCACACTCTGCTCCTATTACTACGGCATCATGCTACTTACCCGACCTTTCCTCATCTACGAGTTATATGAGTACATGGGCGCTCCTCTAAAGAGCGGAGGCTCACAAGCTGATCACCAAGAGAAGCGCAAGTACGCAGATGCTGCACTTGATGCCGCGTCGACGTTAGTGGATACTCTGCTAGTCGTGACGATTACAAAGCAGTTGCCTCGTAAGATGCCACTGATAGTGTAAGTAAAGCTATCTTGCCCTATTGAGTAGGCTAACAGGTATCAGATCCTGGCTCTTTACGGCTACACTTGTTCTTGCTGTCGGCATTCTTGGGGACTCAGGACTTATGTTAGTGGACAGCTGCAAAGATGCAATCACTTGCATGGACTACTTCGGTCAAGTCGACCCTCATGCCCGGCAATATTCACAGGTCGCACAATCGCTGCTCAAGATTACCACTGCACATGCCAAGAAGAGAGAGCTGCATCTGCGCCGTAAAAGGAAGCAAGCATCGTCGGAATTGTTTGGCCTATTGCCCGGAGAGTCAACTAACATCCCGGTCCAAGTGGACGATTGCGACGCACAGCTCGGCCACGGGTCGCTGGTCTCCCGGGACTCCGTTCAGCGCCACGTGTCTTCCGCAGCGCCACTCGATTGGACTATATACGATGCCGACTTCTTTGCCATGCCATGGCCGAGTGAGAACGATCAGGGTCTCCAGGATTTCCTGCAGCCGGGCACTCACAACCTTGATGGCGTATCCGTGGCTGACATACCGCTTTTCCCCATCCACGACCAGCAGATGGGCGGTGACTTCTTCCCGTAAATTCGAGATGGATGCGATGGCGTCACGAGTGGGTTTCTTCTTCAAGGTCTCTCCCAAGACACTTCAATGCACGACTTTTGTTTCACTAGTCTCGTCTCTCGATGTTCTCAGAAACGGTATCAGCTTGGTACCTCCAGTTCCCACCAACTCTTGCGTCTTCGGCTTTTCGGCCGCCAACTCCGTCGAGGCGGAAGCTATATCTCGTCTCTTGGGACCGGTAGTGGGTTTTCCCATTCGGCTCGGTATAATGATGTACCTGGTCACCAAGGCGATGTGTTTGTCGCGGAAGCCGCTGAGCGCCGCAACGGCTTCGTTGAATGCGGTCAGAAGCTCAGTGTTGTCTGCATGGCTATCGACGTAGCTTCGAATATTTGCGATTGCTTGGACATCATCAAGGAAGCGGGCATGGGGCCCGGGCATGTACCCACGCATCTCTGCGTGAAAGCCGCCGCTTCTCGAATGGTCGACGGAGAGGACAGCATCGAAAAACTGCAACAGCGAAGACTGACCGTTGGAACCGCCACGATACGCGCGCCATGTGCCTTTTCCGTTACCTTCGTCGTAGAAAACGCCGTTTGGTAGACCAGCACTCGCCATGTTCATGCTCCCAGCCAGGAAAGGTCGGATGGTGTGGTAGAACATCTGCGGGTCACACCGCTCATCCATGCGTTCCAAGAGCTGGCCAATGCGCTGCATTCCCTGTCGGAAGTATTGCAGGGCATGTATGATTGTTGCGACATCATCCGTCTCGACTGCTTCGATAGCACCAAGCATGGCCTCGATCAATGGACCTGCTCTCGCTTCCATGGCGTTCGAGATGATGAAAAACCACGACTCATCATCAGTACCCGTTGCTGTGTGTAGTGCCACCATGTTCTCCGGTTGCGTCAAGTCGGCGTCTTCGTTGAGTGGTGTCCAGTTCCATAGGTTCAAAGCCGCATATGTGGCCACTGGATGCACCTCAAGATAGTCGGCAGTCTGAAGGAACGGCACAGTAATCGCTGGAGGTAGTCGCTAGCTTCCTTGTTAGCGACTGTAGACTTTACAGTACTGCGATTTCATGCTGACATACCTCTGATGGCTCGGGACCTGCCCATATGTAGCCCTGGGCTATGACAGCGAGCATCGAGTGTGCTCTCTGCCATTCTGCCTCACTGGAGAGATGCAACGTATCGAGAACGGGCAATTCATCGACCCATTGCCGTATTTGCTGTGTCTCTATGAGGGTTGGAAGTTGCTCAACGATCTTCTCCCAGGGTTGATAGTAGGTGTGCGGTAAGCGTCTTAGTGGTGGCTCGGCAGGTAAGAACCCGTTCTTTGAGATGCCGTAATTAGGGAGTGCATCGGGTGATGGGAGGACGGGAATCTTGTGAGGACTCATTGCGGCGGAAAAGGTAGCGACGGTAAGGTTGCACAGTAATATCGGAAGGGTACGTCCTTCCTTGTAGCGGCGAACTCCTGCTTTATTGCGCTGAAGAGCGAGGTCCACACTCACCCACGGTCACGTTCCGATGGTCTTCCGAGCTCGGAATGACGGAAGCAATGTCGGATGAGAGTCCGACACCCCAATGAAGAAGGTGCAAGCTTAGTTTGACGCAAGCCTCAAGCCTCTTGCTTGGAGACGTAATGGTCAGATCGTGATGCATATATAGTCTGACGCCGTCTTCTCAGCATCATCCTCATATTCGTACATCACATTGCATCTCGTTGGTTCCCCAAGACATACCCTTACCGACAGCACATCATTACCATGGACGCATCTGCCGCAATCCAACAGCTTCGCCAAGGGCAAAAGCCACAGTGGCCAACAAACTCCGAATCAGCAGACTTTGCGCATTCGCTCGACCAAAGTGCAGACATTCCCAAGACGTTCCGACCCGAGTTTGTTGTTCCCAGCAAAGCGCAGCTAAAGCGGAAAACCCTGAACGATGACGCACAAACCGCCAACCCTGCATCAACACCAGACGACGAGGCCATCTACTTCTGCGGTAACTCTCTGGGTCTGCAACCAAAAGCTGTTGGCGAGCACTTGAACGCATACCTCAAGACATGGGGATCCATCGCGGTTGGCGGCCATTTCACCGCCCTCGAGGATTCGCCGCTCACACCCTACCAAGACATGGCTGCCGGGTGCTCAAAGAAGATGGCTGACATCGTCGGCGCATCACCTTCAGAGATCGTTGCGATGAACACATTGACCATCAACCTGCACCTGATGATGGCTGCATTCTACAAGCCGACAGAGAAGAAGCACAAGATTATGTGCGAGTGGCGACCTTTCCCCAGCGACTGGTATGCGATCGAGTCGCAAATAGAATGGCACGGTCTTGACCCGAAGAAGTCCATGCTGTTGGTCGAGCCGGATGATGGATACATCATGACCACAAAGAACATCCTCAAGCTCATTGACGAGAACGTCGATGAGCTGGCTCTCATCATGCTGCCCGGTATCCAATACTACAGCGGCCAATTACTCGACATCCCCACCATCACCGCACACGCACGCAAGCACAACATCACCATCGGATGGGATCTAGCACACGCTGCTGGAAACGCCGAGCTAAAGCTACACGACTGGGATGTTGACTTCGCATGCTGGTGCACATACAAGTACATGAACGCCGGGGCCGGTTCCATTGCCGGTGCTTTCATTCACGAGAAGCATGGCAACAACGACCACTATAAGGGGCTGAAGGGCTGGTACGGCCACGACAAGTCATCACGCTTCCTCATGGACAACAAGTTCGTTCCAACACCCGGCGCGCAGGGCTTCCAATGCTCAAACCCATCGATCGTCGACCTCACATGCTTAGCTGGCTCGCTCAGCCTATTCGAGAAGACTTCCATGGCCGACCTACGATCACGATCTCTGCTCCTCACTGCATATGCCGAGCACCTGCTCTCTCAGATCGCTGCGCGCAACATCAAGGACGGCAAATTCCCCTTCGAGATCATCACACCCACAGACCCTCGTTTCCGCGGTGCCCAACTCAGTGTACTGCTTCCAGAAGATGTCTTCGACGATGCGAGCGCGGCGCTAGTGGAGAACGGCGTTGTTTGCGACAAGAGGAAACCAGGCATCATTCGTGTTGCGCCGGTACCAATGTACAACACTTTCAGCGATGTTTGGCGTTTTATGCAGATCTTCGAGGAAGCGATACGGGAGAAGGATCAAGGGCAGGCGAAGGAGCAGCAGTCGCAAGGGACAGCGGTTGAGGCGAGGTTGTAGAACAGTAATGATTCGTTAGATGTTCTTTTAGCAGCGTTAGATGTCAATTTACATAATCACTGTACTCATGCTTCGTTGCCATGGAAATATCCACGTGCCTCCCATACTTCAGAATGGTGAATACTCGAAGTTGGTATCTGCAAATGCGTTGAAAACTGGTCTGAGATCATCCCCAAAGTGGCCGCAAGGGTTTATCGGTATTCATCGTCAGAGGCTTTTCTATCCATCTTCTGGGCTTCGCGCTCAAAGTCTTCTGTCAAGGCTCTTTGGGTGTGTACATTGGTAGATTGGTAAGTCGGCAACGGTGGTTCGCCATGATGCGTCGGAGTGACCCCGAAGTCATCTCCATACTCAACCACGGTAGCCAAGACTTTTCTATCGGTCTCTCATTTGCGCGCTTGCATCATATTCCAAACTCTGCCGCTCCAAGATCCTCACTCACCTTTACCTCGTCCTTAGACCGGAGCGGAGTAGAGTCGCGCTAGTGGTAAGACCACCTAGGTACATAATTCAACCACTCACTGCCACCCAGTTTCTCTCCACACCCACCTTCACGACCACGACCACGACCACAGTCGAAATGGCGGCTGCTGCTCAGCAACAGGCTCTAGCCTCACTCAAAGGGTAAGCTTGGTTGTGCCAGCTCCTTGTTCTCCCAGACCATCATCGCAGTGACACTGACCACATTACAGCTTACTTGAATCCGGCGCATATTCCGACCTCACCATTAGCTGTAACGGCGATACCTACAAAGTCCACAAGAACATTGTTTGTGACAAGATTGACTTCTTCACACGGGCCATCCGGTTTGGCGGAAAAGTGAGTTGCCTCAAGATGACGACGATTGAGCACCATGGACTGACCGCCAGCGAAGGAATCTCAGAATGATGTTGTCGATCTCCCGGAAGACGACCCCGCCGTTGTTAGACGCTTGATCCAGTACCTATACGAAGCCGAATATACGCCGCTGCTACCAGATGTAGACTCTACTGGATCTACTCCGTTCACGAACAAGACAAATCGCCCCAAGTATCACGCGAACGGAGATGAATTTCATTATCGCTTTCCCCATACATGCTGCTCGATCAGTCTGTTCCATGTAACATGCAATGATCCTACGGTTTGTCCACATCACAGGTGCAATTACGACGAAGCTGGTTATTTTCTGGCAACCGGATCTGTGTGCTGTGCCAATTTCACCTGCGATAAATGCGAGGTGAATGCAGCAGCACTCCCTCCGTTAAACGGCGAATCTAGCCAACCTCTTCTCCACGCCAAGATATACGAGATTGCAGACAAGTATGAGGTGAAAGGTCTCAAGGATCTGGCTCGTGAGAAGTTCAAGAGGTCCTGCGAGCAATTCTGGGATAATGACGTCTTCGCGGTGGCAGCGCATCACGTCTTCTCCACAACGCCCGACTCCGACAAGGGCTTACGCGATCTAGTCAGCTTGACAATTAGCAAACACATGTGCTTGATGGATAAGCCGGAGATCGAGGCTCTACTCACTGAGTTCAACGGGTTGGCGTTCGGTCTCCTCAAGTTGACAAGGAAGAGGGGTTGAGTGATTGGCGTGAGCTCAATCATGAGAGACTTCGAGAGTGAATATGAATGCACAAATGTGGTAGGACAAGAATCTACGAGAAGCAGAAGCATCATGGAGAAACGGTCGAATCAGAAATGGGCATTCGAACCAATTTGGAAACATGCGCAAAAGCTCTTGAGTACGGGATGAGATCATCATCAGGTCAAATAACAGCCATTTCATCTACTTCCTCTGCTTCGTGCGGTGCCATTTGTCATGTCCTTCTCATATACCGCTGATGCTGACTGATCAGTTCAGTGATACGTATATGCATATGCATATGCTTAATGAGACTGTCGACATCGGTTCACATTCACTTCAAGATAGAAAAAAGACTCGGAGGAAAGTCGCGCCGATTACGAAGTTGCTGAGAAAACTCACCCTCTACCTCTGTGGACTCCTCTCTCACCCAACAGTACAATCGTGTTCAACGCAAAAGATGGCAGAAGCTTCGCAAAAGCAGTTGATCACAACTCTCAAGAAGTAAGTGACCTTACACAAAAAGATCCACACACAAACTGACAGTCCTCAGTCTGCTCGTCACAGGCGCTTCGTCCGACTTCACTGTCACCTGCGGTCCTGATACCTACAAAGTCCACAAGAACATTGTGTGTTCTCGTGCGGGTTTCTTCGCTCGTGCTCTGCGATTCGGTGGGAAGGTACGTTGCTAACTTGTCCAGCGACGACGACTTCGATCGTGAAATGGTCTGCTTGTTAACACAATTGTAGGAAGCAATTGAGAACACTGTTGATCTTCCCGAGGACGATCCCGCCGTCATCAAGCTGCTGTTCCAATGGATCTACGAGGGCGATTATGAACCAACTGCAGATCAGGCACCTGCAGATCAGGAGCCAGTCTGGCCTTCGACCGAGTGTGAAGCAAAGTTTCCACATAGATGTTGCAATGGCTGGGGTTCATGCCAAACCACGGTCTGCACTCACCACACCTGCGGAACTGACTGCGATCGCGACTGCAATTCCTTTACTTGCCGCTCCTGCGAACCTGGCGCAGAAGCCAGCGAAGAAGAGAAGGAGCTTCTCATCCACGCGAAAATGTACGAAATTGCCGATAAGTACGATATCCCCGGCCTTAAAGACCTCGTCAAGGTAAAGTTTCGTCTCGCTTGTAAGCTGTCGTGGAACACTCTCGCCTTTGGCAACGCAGCTCACTATGCCTTCTCTACCACTCCTGATGACGACAAGGGCCTGCGGGACATCGTCACCGACACTATCGCTGCGCATATGAAGGCACTCTTGAAACTGCCGGAGATTGGGGCTTTGTTAATCGAGTTCAATGGTCTAGCCTATGATCTGCTCAAGACTCGGGTGTATCCGGAACTTCAGCAGCATGAGGCAAGGTGGTAGAATAGTAGAATGGACGCCGGGTTTGTTCTGTGAGAGCAAGGAAGATACGAAAGTATAATCTGGACCCCGTATGGAAAAGATGATGACAGCCGAAAAGGTTTGGCTATTGGGTGTCTGGAAGATAATCAAATGGGAACAGTCTGATACTAGACTCCGCGCTGTTGTTTTGCTGTGATGTCAATGATTTACTAAAGCAAATGCTAGTGAGATGGACGTGCAGTTGAGATCAAAGCACAGTAAAAACATAATGTGTACTAAGACGCTTTGTTATGCAACGTGGCTCAAGAGTATACCTCTACCAAATCTACCGCATAGTCCTCATCCCATGCACATGTATCGTTCCATCATCCCGCTGAAGCACATTCATTCCTCATCGCTCCGTCTACTGCAACCTCACCTCCCCCTCCTCCCTCTTCAACCCAAACTTACTCAACCTAATCCTCGGCACAACCCCCACAAGCACCAACACACTCGCAACAATAACAGCCCAATGCTGCACATGCGCCAAATTCAAATTATACGTCGTCCACGTCGCCGCGCAAATCGTCGCAAGCCCCAGCACCGCAATAACATACCCAGCCACCCTATGATACTTATAAATACTCTTCGCGTTCTCCACGCTACCATAAAGCTGCGGCACATAATACTGCGTGAACCCCACAATCGCCTGGATGTACACAAGGATATAAAAGGTGAGGCCCAGGCGCGCGTGCGCGGATTCAAAGTGTTCGTGGCCCGGGCCGGCTTTGTTCATTTCGATGATGATGAGGCCGGCGGTGAGGGCGGAGGCGCCGAGCGCGTGGAAGAGGAAGTGGGCGAGGGTGCCGGCGCGCTTTTGTTCGGGGGTGTGGGTTGGTTGGAGGACGAGGGCTGCTTGGATGGCTAGGAGGAAGCCGGCCTAGGGGGTATCAATGATACGGTTGGCGGGAGGGGGTGATTAGGGTGGTGTTGTGGCTTACGGAGTTGAGGAGCTGCGTGGTTGGGTTGGTTAGTTGGTGGTGGGCGAGGTTTGGGGCGTGGGGATGGGGCTTACTGGGTGGGCGGAGAAGAAGATGAGTTTGTTGGAGAAGATGGCTCCCCAGATGATGGCTGCGAGCTTTTGACGCGTTAGTATGGGCGTGGTGTTGGAGGTGTTGAGGTGCTTACGATCCATATTCCTGCTTGCGCAATGGGAGCGGTGCCTGGGTCTGTTAGAAGCCTTCCTTACAGCGTATGCTTGACAGCACATACCAATCCACAGGTTATGGTAGAGAGGCTGCCCATGCATCTGGCTCGCATCTCCTCTTCTGCCTAGAAGAGGCTCTTGTTCGCTCTGGCCGCGCGCCGCAGCGGCATTTGGTGGGATTCCCGTCGCAGAAGCCATGCTGTGATGTACAGAATCAGACGCGATGCTATAGACAGCCTGAGAATCGAGAGAAGATCGAAGGATATAGTGTCAGCCTGCGACAGGTGTCTGAGGGGTGCGCTTCGGACTTTAGGCGATGAGGAAGCTCCGGCAGACAATGACGACAACACGAACCCCTGTTCGTATCCACCAATTAGCGCGATGCGGATGTCAGATGGGTCGGACTCCGGCCAATCAGCGCCGAGATGACTAAACCGTGCAGAAAGTGGTGATGTTTGCATTGCGGGTTTTGGGGGGTGGAGAAGGCGTTCTTGACGCGAGATGCATGTCTAGCGCGTCCACAACGGTCGCGTGAGACATCTTCATCGCACCACTAGACGTGAATGAGGAAGCTGAGCATCGGTATTGGTGGTTTGAATATATTCTCGTCTCCGTTACATCGTTGCTATTGTACAAGTTCGCGCTCATCCATAGCGCTGCGTCAGCATAGTCATCCCCGCTGCGTGTTGAGGTATCAAGTCCATGTATAATATCCCCCCTCTTTCTATCCCAAGGCAGAGTCTGCTGCCATAATGCCGCCTAATGAACCATACCACGGGGAATCATCCTCCACCAGCTGCGTTCGCTCCAAAGTAACAATACGCCGTCAAATGCTCATGCATTCGCCTTGAAAACATTACATCCATTAACAATCCAACTGCATAACCAGACTAAGGATATGAGATGCGAGAAGCATCCCATGTAACAACCAGCGCCTCTAGTGCGATGGTAGTAACGTGGACCACTGTCATGTTCGGTGTGCCTAGTAGCACGTCCAGTGGCTCCCCAACTGCGCCGTTCGCTGATGCAGGTAGGAGCAAAATCGAGTACCGTGCCTCGATACAATGTGTACGTGTGCGTAAAGGTAAAGTCACCCACTCTCACTTCTTCTTCATGAGAGCAGGCTGTTTCGAAGGGTCGGCCGGATCCAGGAACTTGGTCATGGCAAGAGAGAGTTCTTTGAACTCCACCGGCTTCGTGACGTAAGAGTTGAAGCCTGCTTCCACGCACTTTGCGTAAACATCACCGAGGACGTTCGCAGAGAGCGCGATGATAGGGTGGCGGCGGTAGCTATGCTTCTTCTCCCACCGCCGTATTTCTTTGCAAGCTTGGTACCCGTCTTTGTTGGGCATGTGTAGATCACACTGGACGACGTTAGTACTGTCCGAAAGAAACAGACGTTGCTACTTACGAGGATGATCGAGTAATAGCCGGGTGGCTTTGCAAAGACGGTCTCGGTGGCTTGAACACCATCCTGTACCGTCTCTGTTTCAATGTCGATCCTGGCAAGGAATTTCAAGATGACCTGAAGACTATTAGTATGCGAAAAAAGTTACATGTAGAGGCCACTAACCGTTTGGTTGATCTTGTTGTCTTCGACCAGCAAGACCTTGTGGTTCTTGCCACCCACGCGGCGCTTGAGTTCTTCAAAGACGAGCTTTTGGCTGACAACGACCTGCTGTGCGCTGTCTTGATTGCGATCCGTGCTAGACTCACGCTCCTTCTGTGGGTCGAAGATGATGGCAAACTTCGAAGGTTTAAGAGGCCGGTAGATGAACTGGAGGCGTCGATCCATGTGAAGCTGCTCGTAGTCGTAGACCGGTGCTTCTTTGATCAGCTCCTTCTTCTGTGACGGATCCGAGACTACGACAACAGATGTGTTGCCGTACGCCATGGAGCTGAAGATCTGGTCCACGATGGCGTGCACCTCGGCAGTGTCGTGCAGCACGAGAACAACATGGGTGAATAGCACGGGATTGTCGCCACCCATCATCTTCTGCGCCTCGATGACGCTAGCTTGACCCGTCACTTGATGAGGTATCCCTTGAGGAAGCGTGTTCCTGATGTGTCGGATCGTAGCTTCCCTACTATGCTCCAGTGGGCACACCACCAGTATAGAATACATGGGAGGTTGTAGAGCACTGCCAAGCGGTGACAGACTACGATGAGGTGAAGACGCACGGAGCGTCTTGTCCGAATTGATGGAGGTGGAAGAGTCGGGCTTGGGGGCTTCCTCGCTATCGGTTCTTTTGGGTGGCAGAGCTAGTTTAATATCCGCGTCTGAAGCTGGGCTGGCTTCCTGCAGGTACGAAGACGCAGAAGATCTTTCCGAACGCAAGCTCGACTGTCCAGTAAGAGCGGCACTTGTCAAAGAGTGATCCGAGCTACCAGAGGAGAGGGACGGAGAGTCGCGCGAACGCTCAGAGGCTGAGAGACTAGATGCAGGCGA